ACTAGGAATATGGGTAGATAATAATGCAAGTGGATGCCATCTGTCAACATCAAAGATGATCCAAAGCACCAATCTATTCTTGTCATTATATACAATAACTGACACATGCTTTTTTTTCTTTAAAGTATCATATCGCTTAATATTTTCAGACCATTACTAAAACAGATCTATCTGTTTTGCAATAAGAATGTCATACTGGTGGCTCTAAAATAAGTTCACTGAATTCAATACAGTATCAGTCTTACAGCATAACATGCACACACAACATGAACATCACAATAATAATAATAATAATAATAATAATAATAATAATAATAATAATAATTCAATTCATGTTTATGTATGTGCAAACTTAACAGCACAGAGTTCAGTGCAGTTAGTGAGAGTGCAGAGTATTCAGACCTGTGGTGTTGCTAAGAAGTAACTGCACCATATAATCAGTTCCTCAACTTACCATGTTGCAGTTTGTATTGTCTACTGAGCTAAGGAACTGCAAAGGAACCGATAACCATAGGGAAAATTCCACGGTGGTAGAAGGAAAGCGTTGAGGAATCAAATTTAAGCAATACAAGCCAAAATGTATCCAAGAAGAAGCACATCAGAAACTCCAAGCATTCATTCATGCAGTTACTGCTCCTGCTCACCCTCTACAACAATATCAAAGACTCCAAATGCTGGTGATTGACTCATTCCTGATAGAAGTTCAACCGATTTTGAACTTGGGCATTATATGGTAAACCAGGAACAGCCACCAGATGATGAATTAACAATCCACACAGAGAAAGAAATTGAGCGCATAATAATACAAATAATAATATCTTACATAATATAGCTCTTATACATGAAATAAAGGGATTAACCTGAAGAGCTAATTCATGTAAACACATGTAACAATGGGTCCATGCTTGTTATGTACCTGCAGAAAGAAACACATACAGAATAAATTAAGTTGAAAGAGTTTTGAGGGCGATGTGACACAGTGCTTAAAACTATTATTAGTGTTGGATTTGAGGTTCTCACAGCGGTGGCATCATGTCATGTCACTGGACAACATGATACCACATGCAAGAAAATGGTACTCTTTTATTATTTTGGACTCTGTCAGCATCACCTAAGTTTATCAGAATCTCTGTGTTTCATAAACTGTTTCTGTTTCTGACTTCAGGTAAACAAGTTACAAAAGATAACCTACGATGCTGGGCCCCTCATACTGAAACCATAGTTTGAAAGCAGCTCACATGAGGAGCATAACAGAATAGGTTTTCTTTTGTACCTTGTTCACCTGAAGTCAGAAACAGAAACATCTGTGAAATGCGATGGTTTTAATAAACTCAGGCAATGAATAAAATCCGAAATAAGTTTCAGCAATTTCCAAAATTAAGAACTCATGTCAGCCAGACAGACGATTATGGAAACACATACTGTCTCATCTGTTTCTTTCTGTACTTTTTCTGTCTCTGCACATACATACACAACTGTCCCACTCCACAGTCTGGGATGCTAAAATAATTTAGAAAAATGTAGAGGTGGCAATTCTGATTAAGTACAGGACCCATATGGAACTACAATTCTTCGACCTAATTAGTTCAAGAAACATAACCTTTGCGTAAATGATAGACATAATAATTTAATAAAAAGACCAAAACTGCATTAACTAGTTAAATATCTGAATAAAGAATGCATTTTTAACATCAACCATCTATGCCATTTGGTCGGTATCAACACGGACCTCTCCAGTAGGAACCTCACATTTATCAGATGGTCTTGGGTCACACTTCAGAAACTGGAAATTAGATGCAATTATGTATCCAAATGGCTAGAGGTTTCTAAGATGGTAACAGATCCTCGACTCCCCATCAAGTCGGTACAGGGAGTTCGACTTGTGAGGAGACCACCCATATGATAACCTGCTACACAGTACAATGATCCAGGCACAAAATCTGATTTCTGAAGAAATGTGAAAAATGGAGTTTGAGGTTTGAACCATTATTGGGCACTGCTACTAAAGGGCCCTTAGAAGACTCAACATATCTTCTGGACTCAGTGGAATCATAAGTCACCTCATTTAAACTTCACGTTTCTGCCTGGTATTCTGCTTCAGTCATCCTTCTTGTCTGATACAGAGGCTTGGCCATTCCAGCTGATGTAGGGATGTCTTTTTTTCTACCTCTTTCTCTACTTTACAGAAATTGTTTTTACTATTAAAAACAGTAGTTTAGATCATGTACTGTAAAGATACTTTCATATGTTCAGTTAGATTGAATCTGTTCCATTTCATAAATTTAGGCATGGACCTGTGTAAATATAAAACTGTCATTCAAAGTCAAAAAATTTAAAGCATGTCCTGTTCCTTTGTTTGTTTCATTTAATTCAGATTTTTTTTCTTCAAATTTTATGCGCAACATCTAAATATTTCTTTATGAAATCAGTTGTGAGGACTTGACTGGTTCATGATACATCCAATGGCAGACTCATGTGTTAGCAATATTAAAATATTGAAGCATTATTAATAAGACTTTTGTTTAGTTACAGTTATGTGATGTAAGGAGGTCACATTTTCTGGCCCTGGATATTTCTTTCCTCACCACCATATCTATGGTTCACTTGGCCCCTCACAGGGGGCACCAAAATCTCCTGCTTAGTGGGTAAAGATGTACAGAATGTGATGCTGACCACTCACTTCTGCCTAGTGCCAAACCCATGTACAACTTCATAGTGTTTCTGAATACAGGGGGCATTTACTTTTATTTTGAATATAAAGGTAAATTTATACTTCAGTGTCATAAATAAGCATACATAAAATAGTCAAAGGATTAATATTAATAATAATAGTATTAATAATAATAATAATCTCTTTTCACCGAGAGTTAACAGTGTAAACATTTTCAAATACACTCAACTCTCGATTATCCGGGGGCGGATAAACCGGTTTGCGGCTTAACCGGGGCTACTGGAGCTTTTTTGAGGCTTATATGTTGTCTAATATTCGTTCACTTTTGTTTCACATGGCGAGTTGTAACACTATTTTCGCACTAGTGTGAACCGAGCTCTGAATTTTTTGGTCCCATTATGCTAACACAATGTTCTAGGGTATGGGTGAAAGAATACTAGGATTTGTGTAAAGTTTCAAGGACAGATACACCGCCCCAATTAGTCTCTTTGTATCGATCTTCAAGTGCGTTGGCAAAATGTCAGGGTGTAAAAGGAAGCATGTTGTGTTAAGTATTCAACAGAAACTTGAAATTATCAATCAGCTGGGAAAAAAAGGGTGTAGTTAAACAATTAGCAATGCAATATGGTATTGGAGAACAAACTGTTCGTGATTTGAAAAAACAAAAGAATCAATTAATTTCCTTTGCTTCGTCTTCTAATTCAAGCGGAATGAAGAAGAGAAAAACCATGAAAAAATCAACATATGATGATATCGACAAAGCAACGCTGATTTGGTTTAATCAACTAAGGGCACAGGGAACAACAATAACAGGAGCAGTTTGTGCTAAACAAGCAAAATTTTTTCCGAACACTTGAACTACAAGGAAGTTTTGACGCTTCTTCCGGTTGGCTAACACTTTTGAAGCAGCGTCATGGAATACGAGAAATTAGTATTCAAGGTGAGAAATCATCAGGGGACTTATCATCAGTTCAATTTTGCACCAATTTTGATAGTTTTGTGAAAAGTGAAAATCTGCTGCCAGAACAAATCTATAATGCCAATGAAACGGGTCTTTATTGGAAATGCTTGCCAACCAGAACTTTGGCATTTCAAAATGAAAGACAGGCTCCAGGTCACAAATCTAGTAAGGAGAGATTGACAGCCTTGTGCTGTTCTAATGCATCAGGAACACAAAAACTAACACCAGTAGTTATCGGCAAAGCAAAAAGACCACACTCTTTTAAAGGAACAGTAGCTTCAAGTCTGCCTATCCATTATTTTAACCAGAAAGTAGCTTGGATGAATAGAGCGATATTTAAAGAATGGTTTGATTTTAAATTTGTGCCTCAAGTTCATGACCATCTAAAATCCCAAGGCCTACCTGAGAAAGCTGTGCTCCTCATTGACAATGCGCCCTCACATCCTAACGAAAGTCTCCTGAGGTCAGATGATGGAAATATTTTTGTGAAATATTTTCCTCCTAATGTTACGGCACTTGTCCAACCAATGGATCAAGGAGTTATCTCAAGTACGAAGAGAATCTACAAATCAAATTTGCTACAAAAGTACATTGATGAAGGCAATGATTTGACGTGTTTCTCAAAGTCTTTTTCAATGTTAGATGCCATATATGAGATTTCAACAGCATGGGATACAGTAAAGCCATCTATATTGAAAAATTCATGGAAGAAACTGATGCCTTTCATCACTAATGAAGATGACGATATCCATGGATTCACTGCATTCAGTGAAAATGAGATAGCCATAGAATTAACAAAATTGGCTAACCAAGTTCATGATGGTGAAGAAGTCAACGAGGAAAATATAAGAGAGTGGTTTGACTGTGACTCGTGTGAGCCGGGCTTTGAAATGTTAAGCAGTGACGAAATTGTAAGTTCAGTGGGGGTGCAGCCAGAAGAGCGGGAAGAAAGTGAGAATGAGGAAGATGTGGACGCTGCTGCTAGTAAGAAAATATCACATGGTGCTGCTCTTAATCATTTGGAATCCTTACTAGACTATCGTGAGAGTGAAGAGAATAGTTTATTAAGTGACAAGCTAATATTACGTAGGCTTCGTACGATATCCATAAAAAGGAAAATGCCACAAAAAAGTAAACGACATTATTAAATTTTTTAAGTGTTAAATGTTGGATCTTGTTGAACACTGCGATTGAAATAACTAATTCATACTTCAGTGTAATGTAAAAAAAGTATTAAATGGGCCATGAGATGACATAAAAATTAGGTTGAATAAATTTAAATACAGTTAGTCCTATAGTATCATGAAGGTACAGTATTACAGTACTACTTTTAATCAAATCTGTCTTAACCAGGTTTTCGATTAATCGTGATTTCCATCCCCAGCATTATCCCGGATAATAGAGAGTTGAGTGTATGTCAAATTTAGTAAAATTAATTTTGTATGATGGGTGTACAAATTAAGCATTCTGTCTATACAAATAAATAAGTACGAAGTACATATATATATATTCGAACAGTAATGAACCACCACTGAAGGGTAAGAAAATTGGTGACAGTCATTACTTAATTAATTAATTAATTAATTCCACTGAACTTAACTTTATAGAATTATTCACAGAAAATTCAAAAGAAACAAACTATCCAACACTACCGAACAATTTGAAAGGACAGTCACAAAATTTTGATCCCTAGAACCATCAACTTGTCTTACTGCAAGAAATTCAAACTCCACATTTCAAACAGTTCTTCAAATCCAGGGTCAGCAATTATTGCTGTAACTGAAAGGCTTGGAGTAAGAACATCAACATGCATCTACTTCACATGCTGCTTTTCACTGCCTTCCCATCTCATTACTATCTACTGAACTTCCAGCACCCTGTAGCCCCAGTCTGTTAAAAAAATATTCATGGAGGAAATTTAAACACAATTTGCCTGTTTAGGCACTGAAGTTAAGTCTTGTGGATATTCTGTTGCAGCACTGGGCATGTAAAAAAGCACAGGAATCAAAAGACTAGGCACCCAAGTTGACCAGTTCCACTGGCCGACAAGCATAAAAAAAAGTAAGGCTACGTCATATGTACAGCAGCTTCAACCAGATGCAGATAAAGTTTCTTTCAATGCTGCCAACTGCTCCTCTCCCAATTTAATCTTGTCTGCTATTTCCCGTGAATCCATTATTAACTTGGCCTTCATGTTGATGAAATGATCATAGTCAGCATATTCTTCAGCATTGAAATATTTATATAAGATGTTTGACACACACACACTTCGTCGGTCAATATTTTCTTTCAGTTTCTTGGCTTCTTCTAACTGTTCTTTCAGCTTGTCTCTTTTGGACTCCAAAATTTTCTGAAACATGGTTAAAAATTTATGTAACTAGGCTACATATAATAAGTTCTCTGGATGTATGTAATGTACTTTAATAGGGAAATGCCAGAAGCATCTTACTAAAATTCTTTACAGTAACAGCCAAATCTGTGCCTTTAAATGGATCTAAACTTTGGACATTAATGAAAGAACAAACAAGAATGAAGATGGCAGAAATGCATTTCCTCAGGGCAGCTGCAGGATACAGAATTACATCATAAACATATTGATATAAGAGAAGAACTGGGAATAACAGATCTCAAAATAGGTGATTAAAATATTTCAACATATTCCTGACATATGAAGCTGAAGCTGTTCATCAGTCTACACTGAAGTATACAATATGCCAGGGACATTCAACAAACAGATAAACAGAACAGATTTAATCCATGTAGTTGGAACAAGCCAAGAGCTTCATTTACAATGATGTTGATGTTAGACGAGGACACACTTTGTCTGAATACATCTGTCATATAGTCCAGTGTCTGGAACCGCTAAATATTATGAGTACCCCATACATCCCGTGAACTGACGAGAAATTCAAAAGCACAAATCTACCTTCATATATGTTAACTGATCAAAATCCTTGACATAAATGGTGTCCTCCTTTGTTTTCATGCTACATAGAGTTTATCCACTATATATACTGATAAAATTGTAAGGTCAATACAAATGATTATGTAATAAAATTAAACAGTGAATAACATACTGCATACAGAGTTTCTCATAGGAGTTCTGTAAGTCATGAGAAATAACTTGTGTACCATATTCTGTGATACCAGGCCTATGCAGTATTAACTATAGCATCTCTATGAATTGGTGAAATTTCATATAGATCACTGGAACTATCTTTGATGATGGCATGACTTTATACCTCAATCTTCTGTAACATATCATGCTGACAGATAATAATTAATAATTACACTCTGATCTTCAAGAAACGACCTTGTGGACCCTACAACTTAAGTTTGAGCACATCGAGTGCAAATAAACATTGACATGACCAAATACCAGAAAAAAATGGCAAATTTAAATGGCAAAAAAAAGCCATTTCAGTGCCAATATAATGGCTCAGCTCCTTCACTTCTCACAATAATAAACCGGATACAAAACTCTACTCACAAGCAATGGTGCATGTGGCACACAGTAAAATGCTATAAAAATGAAAGGTAATGTGACATGTCTGCAGAAGAATGACACTTACCCTTTCAGTGTGATGATGTGGCAATCCCATTAGAGCATTCTCAGCACGGGCTAGGCGTCCAGACAGACCCAAAAGCAAGCTGGTGATTTTTCCTACTTCTTCAACATGCAGTCGATATTTAGAAGCTTCATGTGGCCGTGCCAGACGCGAAACTTGAGCTGCAACACTCTCACCAAGTTCATCGTTCACTCGTGACTCTTCAGTCACCACTAGATGCTCGCCCCGCAGGACCTGCAGCTTACGGTCTAGTCGGGCCATCAGCTCCTCCTGGTCATGTAATATTGATTATACAGTGAAACACTTTTCAGGACAATATACAGTAAATTGAGCACTACCTGCCATGTACAAGGAATAGGATGTTCTGGCTACACAAATCTGCTGATTGCATGAGAAAAACTTATAGGAACCAAATTTTCACATGATTTTCGCCATTTTCAAGTCATTTAAACATTTTAATATTATGTTTCAAAGGCAGAGCAACACATTCTTGGTTTAGTCCATGTGTGGGAGTCTTCAAAGGAGTCACAGGGAATTAATGGCTGGAAGATTTCAGATATACTTTTAACACAATCACAAATTCAATTTGCCTCTATTCTAATCACAGATCACTACAATCATAATGGCACCTGCATATGGGAAGATGACAAGCAATGCTGCTGGTGGTGATTTGGAGAACTATTATGTGGTGGTAGAACATACGCACACTGCAACTTTCTTTTTCAGACAAACTTTATGAATATGCATTTTTTCTTCTGGCTGCATCAGATATTCAGATGCCTGCATACTGGATAATCAGGAAATTAGTTCATGCACTGCTTAATTTTTCAGTGTGCTTTTTCATTTTACTTAAATGTCCCACTCACAACGTCATGCACACCCCATATTCCTTATGGCCTTAAGTTGCAAAACCAAGAACTGTCCTGAAATGTGATTTGAGGAGAAATTTGCTTATGCAGCAATAACAATGCTTTCAGATGAAAATTTACATGATTATATTATATGATATAATTCAGAAGAATAGAATATTATTATTGTTGTTGTTGTTGTTGTTGTTATGTGTATGTAAATGTCGTCACTAATGGCATACATATTGGAAATGTACTTATTTTATTTTTCTCGCCTGTTAAAGCTAACTTCAATTTTTTGGAATTGTTATTAATTTATTGCTATTATATAGATTGTCATATTTTGTATTTTGCTCTTTAATTATTTTTGTGTATTTCTGTGTACTCATGCTAACTTTGTAATTGACCACTGTGCTGCTAATTTTACACATAAATAAACATGAATTATTATTGTAAGATTTGAGGCTTTCACGGCGGTGACTATGAAGAAAGCAGTCTTCTGGGATTTGGCACCGTGTATATGTGGTGTTAACCGACGTTTCGGAGGAACGTATCGCCCCCATCTTCTCTTCAACCCTGAAGATGGGGGCGATACGTTCCTCCGAAACGTCGGTTAACACCACATATACACGGTGCCAAATCCCAGAAGACTGCTTTCTTCATGAATTATTATTATTGTTATTAGTAGTAGTAGTAGTACTGGTAGTACTAGTAGTAGTACATGGGATTAATCCTTCCAGAAACCTATTAACTGGTGATGGTGACCAAGTGACCATTATTATGGTACTACAACAGGAATTGAAGTGTAGTTCCTGGTCCTTCAGTTTGTGGGTGGACTAATGACCTCACCCTGGGAATATCTACCATTATGAAACCATGGGGGAGACCAAGACACACACAAAGGGTTCTATTGTCCGTAAAGAAGAAGTATATGGGACTAATAAATATGAACAGCAACAAACCTCAGAACATGTCAGTTCTTGCAAATTTCACTCAGGATAAAAGAAAATAGAAATATGCATCATGACAGTGGGCAGGGTGTATTTATTTCGGCCCTAATTTGGTTATGAAATATTCTTGAGCAATCAGCCATGTCAAAACAGAATGAATTTCCAACATTTCATTTCGGGAACAGCCACTGTTTCCATCACCTGGAACTGATTAAGTTTGCCTAGCCGAAGGTGAGTAGATGTCTGACTCCACTGGTCCCCTACAGGAGTTATTGTATCAATCTGACACACCTTCTTCTGTTGTAAGTCTTTGTTGTCTTGTAGCCCGTTTAGTTGCTCCGACTGGTTCATGTCTCTGCCATAGCGTGTGAGGAATTTTGCTTTGGACTCTGATGTAGTGAAGTAAGCAGAATTGGCTGACAGAGGACTCACCGTACTGCCAGTAGACTCCCTGCACCGAGAAAGAAACACATCTTATTCAGTGAGCTTAATTACATTACAGAAGTGTTTTACAATTATTTATGGGAAGATTATCTGAGTTGTGGATTATCCATGTAAGAAAAAGAAATTTTAATCACTGGTAATCTTCACATAATAAGCTTCAGACTTTACTTTATCAGACAGTATCCAAACAGCTAAGCTAACCTGAGCAGTGATACTTGTTTTGGTATGAGACTGGACATCTTACTGTGGTGAATAACAGCATTATGTGGAATTTTAGGTTCTCACAGTGGTGATTATGAACAATTCTACCATCTGGGACATAAGGTTGTGTAGTGCACTGAAAGTCAACCGATGTTTCAGGCTTTGGTTTCTGCCTGCTTCATGGTGGTTTCTTGCTTGAGTTGCTCTTCAAGCCTGATGATGGAGGTGATATGTAGAGTAAAAGTAAAGTTGTCCCTGTACTTAATCAGCTAAGCACTATGCCAAGAAAACATATGGGGAAGTGAAGGTTATCCTTGACACAAGATGGAGGTAAGTGGTCAACTTCACACCCTGGCTGCTTTACCCCCGAGGAAGGAGCCCCCAGTACCCACTGGATAGGAGGCTGGGTAGGCTCCAGAGCTGGTTTTGACACTACAGGGAAGAGAAAAAGCTTGCACTGCCAGGAATCAAACCCAGTGTATCCAGCCCAGTAGCCCACTGTTACATTGGACACCTGGTAGTGACACGTTCCTCTGAAATGTCCAGTCAACTTTCAACTCATTACATGGCATTATATTCCAGAAGATACAACTCTTAATAAGATTGTGATCTTATGAAGTGAGACCATGTAGTCTGGTAATTAGCGATCAATTTTTGGGGAAATCTTGCTGCAGCCTACTTTATTGTTGAAAATGGAGACACCAGGTTTCTTGGAAATGTTGGTACCTGCATACAAGAATACAGTGTCACATGGCAGAATACCATAATTTCAGTACTTCTGTCTAAAGATCATTACTGTTTCTAGCAGATTAAAGTAAAGGTGCAGAGTAATGTTTCCAAATACTTCAGTTTTCAGTTTTCTTTTTGTTTCTGTACTGCCTTACCCTCTTGCATTACATATTTGGTACAGGTAATATAATATTTAAATTCACCATCCATTACTGTACTTACAATGTATAAGTATTTGCATAATACAACACATTTCTGATACTCTTTTAAAGTGTACATTAGTACAGTTAAAATTCTTTAACTTTCATGTCTCAAAAAGATTCTTTTTATGTCCAGAGAAAGATACAACTTGCTTCAAATTTCTAACAGTTTTATACCTATTTGACAATATCAAAGTATTAAATATCTTTATTTTAAAAGAATTCCACTGCTTAAATCATCTCAAATTTTGTAGGAAGGGGAGAAAAAACTAGTTTTGTCATCTATTTACAAAAATACAACAATAACTGACAAAACTAGTACTGCTAATGCCTGAAATGTTTTCTATATGGCAAACACCTAAAATGTAGAGCAGTGTCCATTCATGTAATTACAGTGTAATGAATCAGCCACCATAAACCATTACAAAAATGATACAACTGATGATACATTAAGGGTACACACATGTAACTTTATTTTTATCAGTTTCCTAATGATCTGTGTTGGTTCATTAATTGCACTGTAATTATACTGAACACTGCTCATTGTCTCAGATATCCATACAAACACTGGGCACTGTCACTATTCATGTCTTCAGGTGACTGTTGTTTTTATTTTCAGCAGTGATAGGAACTGAATCTGGCAACAGGTTTCTCCTCAACAGTGTTACCTATCCATCAAACTACAGGGCACAAAAATCCCAAAGACTGTAATCTGTAGGGAATTTCTTGAATATAAAATAGCTACCAACTTCAACAGCAACATTCCACTCGCGTTAATCTCATGTCTGTCACCCAACAAACAATTACTGACTGAGGATGAGGACACTTACGTCCACCTGTGGGTCAGCTATATTAGAACAACAAGATTACTAACCTGATTTCTTCGTTACTGGCCTGTCCATCGAGTGTCTGTGCTGGAACATCACTGCTAGCTGTACTGGTAGTTGTGGTGGATTTTAACTTTGTTGTTGATACTGTTGTTGTCTGTGACATTGCAGTGTTTGATGCCGTTACTCTAGGTCTTTGTGTTACATCCAGTCTGAACAAACCACTCACATAATCTGTTGGTTTCTTGTATTCGGGTGCTGGCACTGAAAGGAAGTCAAACAACCATGTTAATTCACATATATAAAATTAATCTTGAGTTACAAAGACATTAAAATATATTGTGTTATATCAGACAAGATGTAAAAGCTCCATCTTTGAGTAATATATCTTCTGGGATCATTAACACTTATAGTTTTGAAATGTAAACTCTAGCATTTGATGAATGATACAGAGTGTGATGAAAATTTTCCAGAATAGTTGCAATATGTCACTACTACAAATTATGTCAAAACTCCATTGCTAGGTAGAGGTCAAGGCACTTCCCATACCTTTCAAAGCTGCAGTCTGAGTTACCCAGAAGCAACGTCTTGTGAAGTGACAATATGTGTTATACCCTCTGTGATTTGTGATTCATCAGAAAATGGCAGATTTCAAAGAAAAGTGTGGCATGAAGCTGGCCTCTCACCTTCATGTAATGTTAAGGTTAATGATACTTATATTCCTATGATAAAATATATAAATCAATAAATACCTAAGAGTCCCTGAAGTTTATCAGAAGGTGGAAGATGGCTAGCAAGATCTAGGGAAAGTCTTTCACACTCGATTTCTTCTTGAAGTTTCCGTCGAACTGAGGGTGATATCACTACTTCCGTTTCTCTCTCCGATTCAGTCTGAGAAGCTGCATCACTCGTTGCGGCGTTCACACGCAGAATAACTTCTGAACGCTGCACTAGCTGGAGGGATTCCATCACTTGAGAACCTATCCTTTGCTGCACAGCAGGGGGTGACTGTGGCGGTGAACAGGGGTCTAGTGTCAAGGTGGTCTCTGCCTCAAGCATGTCACATTGTGTTTCTATCTCCACATTCAAAGTCACCTTCCTGTGTTCTTCAAGAGAGGGAGACAGTGTAACTTTGCACTGGGTTTCCTCTTTTACTAACTGCACTTCATCACTAGTCCTTGCACTGGATTCCTTATTCGAGTTACAGTCCAACACAGAAGTTAAAACAACAAATCTATCACTGCGCACAGCCTGAATATGATGACTAGAGGATCGCTGTTGCTCTTCTTCAGCTGATACAGCGATGTTGCCTGCACTGGGCACTCTATCACATTCTGCAACATACAGTACAAGAATACAAATTCTCCTCCACAAAATTTCTGTATACTGACATAAATTTAACACTAGAAATGTCGACTTTAATTCCTATAATGCTAGGTCTGCATTTGGAACTGCTTGTCTTTCGTAGGAAAATAATATATATCTACACTCCCTTATAGGTAAAAAAGGTAAAGTTATCCCTGTATCAGGCGGTGAAGGCCCATACGGTTGTGAGAGGTTGAGGCTCCCACATCTTTTAGACAGTTGGCTCACAGATGGCAGTAAGGTTGTCAGCCTTACGCACCAGCCGCCATTTACCTCCAGGAACATTCCTGGTACTCATTTCTGTTAGAGGCTGGGTTGACCAGAGGGCCATAGTGTGGCTGGGAGGGTTAGGGAAAATGAAAAAAAAAAAACNTCAATGACCTAATCGCAAATAGAAACCCATGACCTTCCGGATTGCAACGCAATACCTCAAATCAACCATGCTACCACATACACTATGTAAACTTCATAAGGTTTTCAAATGTAGGGAAAACATGTTTCTGAACTATGTACTTCAGATAAAATACCAACATATGTCACATGCTGTCGCATATAACAATTTTTGTAAAGACATAAATTTTTGACATCTGGCACTTGTACAGTTAAAATGTGTGAACTGACAAGGATCACTGAGCAATGACAACACAGGCCACTCAACATCAGGAAAACAACAGAAAAACCTTATTGCAGTATTACAAATACTGTAAGAACTAAGTTTGTAATGACAGGGGTTCCTTTAAGCTTCAACCATAACATCTGTACATTCACATTTTTAAAATCTGTTATCAGTGTCTGTCAACAAAGCGAAAGAGCAAACTGAAAGGATGTCCACAAAAAAAAAACACTGATTATTTTCAAGGCCAAAGACTATAATAAAATAGTGTTCCAGTCATCAAGCAACATTTATAAATGTAACAAACTGTATGGAACACAGACCCTTTTGAGAGCTTAATATTAAGAAAGAAAACTGCTACTTCAGAGACACGGTGCTGTCCTCTGGTAGATAATTACAGGCATTTCAGGTAATATCGATAACAAACTACCAAACTACACGTGTGATCTTCATAATCATAACTGTCAGAACGTTGAATCTCATAAGCTAATACTCGTTCAACTGGCCGAGTAATTCTCCGCCTTTTACAGAACCCTATGTTCATACATTGAGCCAACCGAATAAAAGTTCACACTCTCACGCTCTATTTCTTTAATATCCTAGGAATCAATTTGGGTTTGCACAATAATTTAACGTCTGAATGAGATGTTACCTGTGGAAAGCCTTTGCGTGGTGTTGGTGGCCTCCTGGCCGGAAGGCGACATGGTTCTCTTGTAGCTCCCCTCGAAGTTAGGCAATCCCCTGTCTCGTTCACGATGACACGCGAGGTAGGACGCCTTGGAAGTGGTCCTACAAGAGAAGCACATCGTTAGAGTTGAAAGGGCCGTACCCAGCGCTGCAGAAACACAATTCGCTCCAGCACGGCGGACAAGTGGCAAAAAACTGTACACACATCAGGTTTTGTGTGTTCCAAATTTAAACACAGAACCAAGTTTATTGATGACGCGTTCTCCAAGTCATTTTAAGATCGTCTATAATTAAAGCAGTACGCTTGAAGGCAAAAGCCCGGATAGTTCAGTGGGTATAGCGTCTAGCTGGACGGCCCGGATTCGATTCCCGGAAGTGAAAGATTTTTTTTTCTCTTCTCCACAGAGTCCAGACAGACTCTTTTAAGGGCCACCCAGCCTCATTTCCAATTGCTACCGTAGGTTCTTTCTCCGGAGGTAAAGAGACGGGGGCGCGAAGCTGACTAGTCACCTCCATCTAGTGCTGACATCAAGAAAAATGGAGTTATAACTTCACTAGTCATACGTCATCATCGACTAATTAAGCATATGGACAGCTTTACCTTTTACCTCTCCTCACGCCTGAAGTAAATCAGTACTGAATTCTGGCTGTTAGAAGGGAACCATTATCAACTCTATGTGTCTTGCTACTAGACGATCCACAGCTGAATTAAGTCCCATGACACGAACAGTCGGGGCACGCGGTACAGTAGTTGGCTGAGGCACTATGCTACAAGCCTGAAGGTCGCGGGTTCAATTCCCGATGAGGTCAATGAATTTTTCAATTCACCTAATTCTTCCATCCGCACTATGGCCCTGGCGTCGACTCAGCTTCTAACAGAAATGAGCACCAGGAATCTTCCTGAGGATAAAGGGCGGACGCCGCGCAAAGCTGACAACCTCACCGCCATCTGTGAGCCGACTGTCTAGAAAACGTGGCATCCTCGACGTCTCACAACCCTATGGGCCTCCACGGCCTGTTACAGGGATAGCTTTAGCTTTTACATGAACAGTAAGGGGCTAGCAGATTTTATTTAAAGAGTTCTGTCTTCTTGGATATAACACCGTGCAGTCTGTTCAATGTCAACCGACATTTCGGAGGAATATGTCGCCTATATCTTCAGGGTTGCAGAAGACGCTAAGCAAGAAACCAGCACGAAGGAGGTGGCTTCTTCCTCGGAAAAGTTGATCGAGTTTCAACGGGTAACACGGCGTCATACCCCAGAAGATTCCGTTTCTGTTTTATGGCCTATCTAACGACACTGTTAGCAATTGGGGCTATATAGTGCCGAATGGCAGATGTCCAGTAAATTGGAAAGAACATGAAAGGAAGCGGTAATGGACTATTTGAGATATTACTCAGACATCTGCATGGATGCGGACTTAAAACCTCAGTCAGGATAGAAGGCGTCATGGCCGAGATTCAAACCATGAAAACAAAATCCTTGGCCTGTAGTCCGCAAGCGGTCGTTATATACCGACCGAGCGACCGCCGCTTGTCAGTTAGTGCCAACTTTAGCGGATAGAGGGTGTCACGTGGTCAGCGCAACGAATCCCCACGGCCATTAATCTCGGATTCGAACCATGTATTCCCCAAATAATTTGAGAAGCATTAGAACTTGAATTTACTCGTTCCGTAAAATTTCTCTTAAGGGAGAAGGATGGGATTTCATGACTCTGTCAGTATCTACATTATACTGCCCGCGGCATAGCTCAAGTGGGATTTGTGGTGGACAAAGTGGCGCTGGGGCAGGTTTTCTCCGAGTACTTCGGTTTCCCCTGCCAATCTTCATTCCACCAACTGCTCCACAATCACCCTCACCTATCATCTTGGGCTGCTACAATAGGCCAGAAGTGGCCGCAGGACAAAGGACTTAGTCCCACCCCACGAGCATTAAAACAACTACATTATACAGCCACGAATGGTGGGGTGTTTGATGAATTGGAAAAAGCGTGGAAGGAAGTGGTTGTAGCCCAACCGAGGTATTATCCCGTTACTTTATTGGAGGAACTGGGAAAATCCATGACAAGCTTCGGTAAAAAAAAATGAACGGTACCTTGAGCCAAATTCGAATCGAATACTTCCCGAATAAAAATCCAGGGCGGCTAAGGTCTCTATATTATGGAATTCCAATAAAGTTTCCGGTTTCTTCGAATCCGTTACCGAATATTGGCTGCTAACCCTGCCTCGCGCCTGCCACGGCAATTAGATAATTATAAATACTGCGGGTCATGGAATAAAATATCGATATTCTATGTGCATCTCTTGTATAAGACAACTGGCAGGCATCTGCAAGACGGGATCAGCTCATCAGAAAGGGTTTACTTACATAAGACAATACAACATCCGTTGCTAGGTAACATCTTTGTGAACACGTTTCCGTGGCAACAAGATAACATGCAATAAAATGAAATAGAAGTTTTCTGTGAGATCCGTGTCGGCGCTATATAACGAGGACTGGCAGTTCAACTGTGGTTGAACCCCTGTCGAGGCGGGTTTGAATATTCACCGTAACCCCGCGAGCCGTGAGGGCAATGGAAAGGGAACTCAGTGCCTGGGGGTATAACTTGGACATCCTGTTCCTGGGGGATACAGTTACGGGGACCTAGCCCTCCAGGCTGTGGGTGTCTCGAACCTGAGACACTCAAACATGGTCATGAGGTCCGCGGGACTCGGGAAACGAGAATGACTACGCTGGTGAGGACCAGCAGAAACTGTAAACGACAGACTAGTCCATTCGTCAGAGATTTACAGTTGTGGGAAGTAAGAAGCTGGTAGCTGCGGTCGGGTACAGTTCGGGAACCGAGACAAAGGGGAGCGTCCGCTGTTGGAACCTGTTACCACGCAACGGCTAGCGAAGATTGAGAACACTTTATATGTGCTGTAGTTACAGTGATCTTTGGAGTTATTTGTAGTCACAAATGTAAATGTAAGATAAAGTTATCCCTGTAACAGGCAGTGGAGGCCCGTAGGGTTGAGAGAGGTTGAGGGTACCACATCTTCTAGACCAGGGGTCTCCAAACTTTTCGAAACGCGGGCCACATTAGGTAATTCAGAACTTTCAACGGGCAGGATAAAATGAGAAATTAATAACTCTAGGTATATGAGTTTTATTGAAAGCACAGAATTTCATAAACTAAATACAAAGTAAGCGAGAATAAATTATCGTATATTAATGACAACAGACAGTAGCAGCAAATGCTCATATTTTCATCACAAATTATAATAAAACAATTAATGTGAATGATGGAACTCTTTTTGCATTCTTAAAATCTGATTAAATTGAGGTTCAAATTTTGAAACGCTAATCACAAGTAGCGACTTTATATTTTCATCGGATAAATTTGCCATGTATTTCGACTTGATGTACTTCATCTGGGAAAAAGTTTGTTCACACAGATATATCGTCCCAAAAATGGAGATAAATTTACATGCAAATTTCTTTAAATTTGGAAATTTCTAAGAGTTCAGAAATTTATAAAATTCGATCAAATTTCCTTCCTTGTATTTGTCTTTAATATGATAACTTTCCTGAAGTTCAATAATTTCCATTTGAATTTGACTTGGGACATCTGCAGCATCACAGTCAAACGGATTCTGAAACACTCTAATTTCCTGAGCACTGGCATCCAAATCAGCAAATCGCTTCCGAAATTGTTCTTTCAAATCTGAAATGATTAAATTTGCAAACGAGGAAGGAAATTCTGCTTCACCCTTTTTATGCAACTCTGCACAGTATAGCATATGAACAAAGTTACAATTTTTCACTTGGCTTTCTAGAAGTATCAACTTTGCTCTGAATGCCTTGATAAGTTCAAATAAATCACAGACTAAGTTATTTTCACCCTGCAACTTTAAATTCAAATGGTTCATATGGTTCACCAGATCAGCAAAAAATGCTAATTTCCAAAGCCACTCGGTATCTGATAAAAGTGTTTCGTGATGGTTTCTCTCGGTAAGAAATATATCAATTTCATTCCTGAGCTGAAAGAAGCGCGAAAGAACCTTTCCACAGCTAAGCCATCGAACTGCAGTATAATATGACAGGTCACTAAGCTCGGAATCACATTTACCAGTACTCATTGGAAAAATTAGTTCAATTGGCACATTTCTGCACAATTCTTTCGCGGCCCGGATAAAATAACATCGCGGGCCGCATTTGTCCCGCGGGCCGTAGTTTGGATACCCTTCTTCTAGACAATCGGCTCACAGATAGCGTTAAGGTTGTCAACCTCACGCGCCGGCCGCCCTTTACACCCCAGGAAGATTCCCGGTACTCATTTCTGTTAAGAGGCTGAGTAGACCCCAGGGCCATAGTGCGGCTGGAAGGATTAAGTAAATTGAAAAAAAAAAAATCCACCGTATCGGGACTCGAACCCGCAACCTTCCGGCTTGTAGCAATAGTGTCTCAACCGACTACTCTACCGCGTACCCCAGTCACAAGTGTAAATCTCATCCGTTGTTACTCAACGACAATTCGTTGCTACGATCTGTCGCTGCGGGAACTCCCCAATTTCCACGTATTCGTTATCGTGGAAGTGTCCGTTCCGATTGCAGCGGTTGTCGCGGTGATCGACGTAAGGTAACGCGTCACAATATTCATGCCTCGAGCGAGATTCGAACTCATAATCTCATTGTTCGAGCGCTACAACAGCCTACGAGCCTCAGACAGCGCTAAACATGTACATTCTACGTATGAGCATTACTTACGGACCACTTAACGATGGTATAACTGGCTCCATGACCGCATTGAACACAAACTGCCCACATCATAAAACGCCTCTCCTTACAGCTAGCAAAACGTAGATTAGGTGAGATAAGTTTTATCTACGTCATGTCTCATTCTATCAACTCGAGACATGTGGAAGAGTGGAGCAATATATACTTTCTCTAGCCTCCCTTTTCATGTGTGTATTCTCGTGCTCTCAAGTGCTCCTGAACTAGGTTACACGCGTGCAGGTGGCGACACCACGAGAATCAAGCTGAATCAAGCATCCGACTTGAACAAACAACAAACACTGAATATCATGAAAGCAGATGTAATACAGTCCTGCTACTCTACT